GCAGCGAGGCTACGCCCCCTCCTTGTGAGGCGGAACTCACCCTCTGCCCTCTGCCCTCTGCAGGCCCTTGATCGATGCCCGGACGCCACAGGGGCCCTTGGCCTGTCACCACCCTCCCCTCCTGCGCTTCCTTCCACAGAATCCACCACAGAACCCGCCGACTCCCGCCCTCATTCACAACAGAGGACTCGAGTACCAAGTGCCCAGCCCTGCGGCTCAGACACCCTCGGACGGCACGTGTCTACCCCCCAATATTCCTGAGAAGGTAGCCCCCCACCCCCAGGAGGAGGGGCCGTTTCTCAACATGCACCCCCAGCCCTGGCCAGTTTGGCTCAGTGGATAGAGCACTGGCCTGCGGACTGCAGGGTCCCGGGTTCGATTCCGGTCAGGGCACAGGCCCGGGTTGCGGGCTCGATCCCCAGTGTGGGGCGTGCAGGAGGGAGCCGATCCATGATTCTCTCTCATCACTGATGTTTCTCTCTCCCTCTCCCTTCCTCTCTGAAATCAATAAAAATATATTTTTTAAAACGAGAAAAGAAAAGGGACAGCGATACCTGCCCTCGAACATGGATGAGGCGTGATTGGGAGCGGCTGACCCGGCCTTGACGGGCTCTTCCTAACCCCCTGGGACGAGGACAGTGTAGGACCTCCCGTCCCAGCCGCGCCCCTGTGTCCCCAGAGGCCTCCCCGGGCACCATGTGCTTCCACATCCCTCACCCCCGCCCTGAGTTCTCCCGAGGAAGAGGCAGCCCCAGGGCACACTCGGTATCGTGCCCGCAGGGAGGGCTCCAGGGAACTTTCCTCTTACCTGTCCCGGGAGGAATCCTGAGGACTGTGGTGGCAGCAGCCTCCGAGACAGAGGCTGGAGGGGAAGAAGCAGAAACAGAACGTCAGGTCTCCGCTGAGGGGAACCGAGGACGGAACGGAACTTGAGCCGCGTTCTCATCGGGGTTTGCCTTCCTGTGTGACTTTGCAAAAGTCAACAAACCTACTCAGCCTCCCGTTCTTTCACTTTAGAAGGCGGTTTGGCCCTGGCTGGTTTGGTTCCGTGGGTAGAGCATCAGCCTGTGGGCTGAAGGGTCCTGGGTTCAATTCCTGATCAGGGCACATGCCCGGATGGCGGGCCTCATCCCCAGAGAGGGGGTGGGCAGAAGGCAGCCAATCCATGATTCTCTCTCATTATTGATGTTTCTCTCTCTCTCCCTCCCTCCCTTTCTCTCTGAAATAAATAAAAACATTCTATTTAAAAAAGAAGGAAAGGAGGGTGCCCCCAGCTGGCCCGCTGGTGGCCCCATGCGGTGCACACACATCCCCGCACGCCTGCTCCCCCCCAGGCCCCGAGGGCGTGGTATGGGCGCTGCTTTCATGAAAGCCATTTCCCGGGAACTTCATCTTCAGAGCTTCCCTCGAGGCCTGGGGCAGGAGTGCGGGCTAGAAGGTCTCTGGAAACCAGGGTGTTTTGCCCTGTCCTCTGACATTCATGAATTAGCAAAAGGGACATCAGAGAAGAGGTGTGTGTGTGGTGGCGTGGGGGGGAAAAGAAGGATGGAAGGAAGAGAACGAAGGAGGAAAGAGAAGGAAGGAAAAAAGGGAGAAACAGAGGGAGGGGAGAGAGAGAAAAGGAAGGAGGGAGGGAGAATGGATTCAGAGAGAGAGAGAGAGAGAGAGGAACAACAGGCAGGCACTGAGAGGGGACGGTCCCTCCGATTCGCCCTGACCCTGTAGGCACGTGTTCCCATTGACCCTCTAAGAACAGGGAGCCGAGCTGAGTACACGCTTCCTGCCACCTCCAAGGCAGGAGCGAGAGGCACACACGGGGACCCTCGCTGTCCCGCCTGACCCCGCTGCCTGGCTGGTGCCCTGGGCGACAGGAGTGACCGAGCCAGAGCTGCCAGCCGAGCGCCGCTGAGGGCCGTGCAGGGCCGGCTTCCCACCCATTGTCCGGGCTCACCCCACGGCCACGCGGAGGCCTGGCGCCCCTTCCCTCGCTGCAGGAGCCTTTCTGAGACCAGTGGCCCCCGGCCTCGTCTAACCACGACCCTGGCCTTTCTCAGGCGGAAACAACCAGAAAAGCGCTTCCTTCCCAAATCCGCGCGAGTGGGGTTTGCCCGTGAGCTGAGCAGCCGCAGAGGAGACAGTACCTGCGTGGAGGACGCGGCCCAGCAGCAGACACATTGCCAGGGTGACCCTGGGGAGCCCCATGGTGCCAGCTCTGCTTCGTGGGAACACGGACGCCTCAATATTTATGGGTTCCAGCCGCCAGGAGGCGTGTCCAGGGCATGACCTTCCTATTGATGCCATAAATCAACATGAGGAAGCGTAACGGTCCCGGCTGAGCTGTGGGAAGACGAGGGTGTGTGCGATCGATGCCGCTCAGATCATCGGGCTGCTCCCCACCTGCCACCGCGCGGACCTGAGGGACCCGCTTCCAACTTCCTCCTGGCGCGCGGCCCGCGGGGCCCCAACTTCGCCCCCGAGGACTCAGGTGAACTCGTGGGAAGGCGGCTCGAGCAGGATGTGGACTGCTGGGCAAACAGCCCCGGTGCCAAAGGGAAGGCCCCTCTCTGGGCCGGGCGGGCCTGGCAGGGCAGCGATCTGACCCCTGGCCTGGGAGAGCCAGGGCGACATTCACGCAGACGGGGCAGGAGGAGGCCGGCAAGTCCACGGAGGCAGAGGCTGTGGCCAGGCGAGCAGCAGCCCCGGCGTCTGGACCTCACACTATTCCCATGGCACAGGGCCGAGGACCGGGGCTCCAGCCGGGCCACCTGACATCTCACGGGGTTTCGGATCCTGCTCTTGGGGGTCATGGGGCTGGGACGGACCTCGCAAACCCACAAAACCAGCCCTGACCTCCCCCTGCCTTGTGCACAGCCCCCCTCCTGGGGTTTTTGTAAACACTACTTTTAAATATATTGATGTCAGAGCGGAAGGGAGAGGGGGAGAGAGAAATATCCATGATGAGAGAGAATCATGGATCCACTGCCTCCTGCACTCCCCACACTGGGGATCGAGCCCCCAACCTGGGCCTGTGCCCTGACTGGGAATCAAACCCTGACCTCCTGGTTCAGAGGTCAACGCTCAACCAATGAGTCACACCAGCTGGGCTATTTATTTATTTTTTATGGAGGAAAATTATTGTGTGTTTTTTGTTGTTATTGTATTTGTTTAATTTTTTAAAGTATTTTTTATTGTTGATAGTATTACAGATATCTCCCATCCCCCTTGGAGGTATTAACGCCACTTGCCGTGGGAACCTGCAGAAAAGCACCCAAATCCGATGGCAGGAGCAGTTTCCCTGAGACAGGAACCCCTACAGGAGTCACCACACCCAAGAGTGGGGAGACCGGACGGGGAACAAGGCCTGAGTGAGCACGAGGCACGAGGGTCCCGCCAGCAGACCCTGAGCCGCCGTGGACAGCCCAGCTCGGACCGGGAACGTCGTCCTGAGAGCGGGCACGATTTCCCCGATGCACGCCTTCCCACGGCTGACCTGTCCTCGCTCCCTGTGGGATCGGGCCTAAACTGGCAGTCGGACATCCCTCTCACAGTCCGGGACTGCTAGCTGCCAACCGTTCACCAGCCTGCCTGCCTGCCTGATCACCTCCTAACCACTCCCCTGCCATCCTGATCAATACCTAACTATTCCCCCGCCTGCCTAATCGCCCCCAACTTTCCTCCCCTGCAGGCCTAATCGCCCCCAACTGACCTCCCCTGCAGGCCTTGACTCCAACAACTGCCTTCCCCTGCTGGCCATCTTGTCACCACCTGGGGCAGCCATTTGTGCGAGAGTGTGACGGTCAATTTGCATATTACCTCTTTATTATATAGGATGTCCCCCATACATGTAACTGTTAACAAAGAGCAACAGGGAGAAGGGCCTCACACAGGCTGCCACCATTTCTTTAGTAAAACTAAAAATAGCCTGGCTGGCGTGGCTCAGTGGTCGAGCATCGACCTAGGAACCAGAGGTCACGGTTCGCTTCCCGGTCAGGGCACATGCCCGGGCTGTGGGCTCAACCCCCAATGTGGGGCGTGCAGGAGGCAGCCAATCCATGATTCCCTCTCATCATTGATGTTTCTATCTCTCTCTTCCTCTCTGAGATCAATAAAAATATATTTTAAAAAAGAAAAATAAATTAAAAAGGGGTCACAGGTCGCCCCCCGGCTGAGAGTCGGCTGTGCCCAGTGCGCTCAGGTGGCAGGTGTGGCCGGGAAGGTGCCCCAGGCCCCCCCTGGAGAGCGGGGCCACATGGGGCTCGGGAAGCCGTCAGACCCACCGCTTTGCTCACCCGCAGCCCTGCCAGCCTTGCCGTGGCCGTGACGAGTGGTGTTGAAACAACAACAAAGACTCAAATCCAAGGAAACTGGAACAAAGGAAGGGGCTCTGAGGACGCAGGGCAGTGACGAGCCGCAGCTCTCGCCAAACCAGAGGAACAAAAGTGCGAGGGGTCAGCCGAGCCCGAGAGCCGCGGCCAGAATGGGCCCCTTGTGCGCGGCCGGAGGAGGAAGCCAGGCTGGGGCCGCCCTGCAGGTGAGTTCCTTGAGTGAGAAGGGGTTCATTCACATTTCCTTCTTCCTGTTACACACGAGGCCCCCAGAGCCAGCGTGTGTGAGTGTGTGCGTGCATGTGCATGCATGTATGGTGCCTGTATGTGCATGAGTGTGTGTGCATGTGTGTGTGCACACATGTGCATGCATGTATGGTGCCTGTGTGTACATGAATGAGTTTGTGCATGTCTGTTTGTGTGTGTACACATGTACATGTATGTATGGAGCCTTGTCTGTACCTGAATGCGTTTGTGTGTGCATGCGCACACAGTACATGCATGCACAGTGACTTGTGTGCATGAGTTTGTGTGTGTGCATATATGTTCATGCATGTGTGGTGCCTGTGTGCACATGAGTTTGTGTATGTGTGCATGTATGTACATGCATGTATGGTGCCTAGAGTGCATGAGTTTGTGTGTGCATACATGTACGTGCATGTACTATGCCTGTGCGTGCATGAGTGTGTGTGTGTGCGTATGTGTGCACATGCATTCCCCAGAAGACACCTGACTGGAGGCTCACTCAGTCCTTGCCGTGGGCCTCCCCAGGAGCCTGTCCTCTCGGTCGCGGGCACTGCACGGGCACCCGCTCCCCCGTCTTCTCGAGCTCCCGGCTGGGTTCGAGTTGTTTGTGCCTCATCCCCAGCGTCCTCCCTGTGACCTCGGGGACCACAGCCTCTACCCTGGCACCGCACACCCAGCCGCCACCCCACACCCAGCCAGCACCGCACACCCAGTCGGCACAAACACCCTGTAGGCACTGCACACGCAGCCGGCACCACACACCCAGCCAGCACCGCACACCCAGCCAAAGTGCAGACAGTGTGTGAAGACGTAACACAAAAGCCTCGCTCTCGGCTGGACATGCGCTCGGCCTGTCCCTGACCTCAGGTCACACACGCCCTTTGGGTGAGGCTCAGCCGATGTTGCCCCACTTCACAGGCGGAGAAAACTGAGGCCTCCCCCCCACCCAGAGGTGAAGCATGCAAAGGGCTTAGTGACATGCAAAGGGCTTAGTGACATGCAAAGGGCTTAGTGACATGCAAAGGGCTTAGTGACATGCAAAGGGCTGGCGGCTCTGTCCCTGCGGCAGGCTGCTCATCTCTCTGTGAGAACAGGAGCTCCCTGGTGGGGAGGACGGGCCGCATTCCCAGTTCGCTCCCAGGTCCCACGTGCGCCCCCCCAGCAGGGTGAGCATGTGCCTTCTCTCATCAGAACAGCACAGTCGCGGCGAACAGTGCAGGATCCGTGTCTGACAACCAGAGCAGGTGCCCAGCACTCTGTTCCTGCCCCGTCAGGGCCACCGGCCCAGGTTCAAAGGAGAGGGCCCGCCACCTCCTGCCTCCTGCCTCCTGCCTGAGGTCACGGGCCCTGAAAGGCCTCGGAGGGGGTAGGGGGCAGCGAGCCGCGGGGCCGCTGCAGGTCCCGGAGGACGGGGTGGTGGGAAGGGAGGGCATCGCAGGTAATTCCGGGAAAGGAAGGGCTGGGCAAGCTCCCCATTAGTGAGGGCCGGCCACCTCCCCCCTTCGCCCGAGGGCACAGGGGCAGATTCTCTTAGCCTCTTTGTGTGGCAGCGACAGTGGCGGAGGCATCGAGGGGCCACTTCCTGTTCATGCTGCCAACACAGATTGCCCAAGAGCCCTGTCACCTGGGCCCCGTCACCTGGCCAGGCCGGTGCCCACGGCTGGCTTCTCGGTGCTGTGGGGTTCGGTCTTTTCTGGGGCAGCCTCCCTCTCTCTCTCTGGGGAGCCCCCTGGAGCCCGAGCAGGGGCTCCTAGCCTCCCGGCCCCCTTGCTGCTCTGGGCCTCCTTCCTCAGCTCTCCCCGGCGTGCGCCACGTCTGGGCAGCCCCGTCTTGAAGTCAGGGGCTGGCTGCCCCCGGCCTGGCTGCCAGGCTGAGACCCGTACCTGCCCCGTTGTCCCTGCCCGTCTTCTCCCGAGGACTTTCCTGGGGCATGTGCGGGGAGGGGACCCTCCCGGGCGGCGCCTACACAGACTCGAGGCGGCCGCACTGTGTTTCTTTGCCTCGGGGGAGTCCTGAGTGGCCAGGCTCCTCACCCGTCACCAGGAGCTTGCGGATGAGCACTTGGGGCCCCAGGGTGTGCCCTCAGCGGCCCTCGGTGAGGGCGTCCGACCGGGCCTGCTGGACGCCGTGTTCACCACAGACACAGATGTGTAATAGCTGCGGGTTTGGGGATAAGAAGGGACTCGCCAGGACGCCACCTTCCCCTCCGCGTCTAGGTGAGCATGTGCCTCTGAGCCGCCCAATGATGAGATCTACGAGGTCCCGGAGCTGAGGCACCTGCTCAGGTGGGAGAGAAAGCACCCAAGTCCTGAGGACCAAGGTGGTTCAACTCGGCCCCAAATAAGGAGGGAAAACACCGCCTCGCTCTGTGCCTGCTGGCAGGCAGGGCTCCCTCCGCTTCCCTCCCACCTGCAGAGTGAGGTCCGCACCCTCACCCGCTGGACGCACCCTCTGCCCTAAGGAATGCGTGTGCACATGTGCATACGACACACACGGGGATGAAGGCGATTCGGGTGGAAGCCGGATAGTAAGTGGAGGCTGGATTTTTCCGAAATGTACTTGGAACGTTATATTTTAGACGGCGCCACCTCGCGGCTCACGTGTTGCATGAACCCACCTCCTACCCCTGA